ATTTGAAGCGCCTCATTGGGAAATGCTGAATCGATTTTTGCGAAGAAAAAATGGGAGTGCCTCATTGAAAGAAATTTGGAGTACTTTAAGCATAATATTTTCTCAACGTTTTTTTAAAAATATTATTTTTTAACGAAAGTTAGAAAGAGACTTGGGTGTATTGTAGATGTAATAATCAAGATAAGTAATAATCAAGTTCAGTGATACTTGAGCCGTTCACTGCACAAATTGATTAACTCCATAAAAGAAAAAGTGGAGAAATGCAGTGAAATAATGTATATTGTTTTTTCAAATTCCCTTCATAATTTAAATCGAAATAAATATCGTAGAATGCATAAATACAAATGTAACTTTCATCTGACGGTATACAAAATTTATAAGAAAAAATAGCCGAAAGGTAATCGTTAGTAATGTTACAATTTTTATGTTACTGGAAGAGTTAATCGATTTGGCAAGTGAAAAAAGTAATAAATTCAAATTTTACTAAATTTTACTTAAATTCTGATAAGGCGGCACTAAAAAATGCACCGTTATCATTCATCGCATGCTAGTGCATTCGAGTTGCATCATTGCAATGATTTACATTAGAGTACGGAGTTAATCAAAGTGACCTCTGAAATAAATTATTTATTATTCTGTGGCCAAAAAATTTTTGTCGTTTAATGGTGTTAATCTTAATTATCGGGGAAAGTTATTATAAATGTAAAAAGTTACGACTATACCTAGTGCTTTGACACTTAAATTTAAGATTTTTCAAAAAGTGGGGTTAATCGATTTGTGCAGTGAACGGCTCACTTGTGAATAGTTTCTTATTATAACAAGAGATACAAAATCTTGACAAGTTGTTATAGTTTGTCTATTACTTCTGATATAATTTTTAATAAATATGTAGTGGCTACCAGCACCATAATGCTCTCAGATGTCAAATGACATTACCAATGTTCATCTTGTGAACAAAATTAATATAACATTAATAACAGTTGTATTAGGATTACATTGCAATTTCTGTGTGCAGATATATAACGTTATTTTACTTCAATTTAATTTCACAATGCTTAATTTAATTTCAACGTTTTTCTTTGATTAAAATGGCCAGTAGGTTCTTCCCTGCCTTCTCTATGATAATATTTATTCAGTCTTTTGTTTCTACGTTCCTCTCGAATTTTTTTGAGATATAAAACACCTCTATTCCAAAATATTTTCCACGATATTGTACGAAATAATTTTAGGAGTAAATAAAATATCGATCGAAGTAATCCTGATTATATTTAAGTACTCTGAAGTATTTTTACCAAATTTTTATATTTCGTTATTCAGTTTTGTAATTATTTATTATTTCTTCGTAAGACATATCAGAGAAAACGCATTGTTATCTTTCATCTTCGCACAAAAGGGAAGTTTCCACGTCTTTCCTTTGCGATTCAACTTTAACAAAAAAGGAGTAACTAAGGTACATGAAAGATTCAATTTTCTTCCAGTAATTTTATCTTGAGGCAATTCAATCTTAACATAACTTTCTTATAAAATTTTTATTTCGTATCTCCTTAAAGATGATTCTCATAAACCAGTGCAACTTCCATTGCAATTACTTTTGCCCTAGTTTCCCGTGCTTTACGAGCTCCCATCTTGGAATTGCGATTTATAATTAATAACAAAGAATTTTTTAATCAGATTTAATGGCAAGTCAAATGTAAACTGATTTCCGCTTCTCCTTTCTTCCTGTATATATTGAAATACGCCCCTGCTCTTTATCAATAATAAATTTTTTCTCAAATACGGAAACAATCACGTCCATTTACTCTCATTGTATCATTTTAATAATTATTATCTATATATATATATATTATTTAGGTACACATTACAGGGCCGTAGCATACTCCGAAAGAATTTTTCCGGTAATAAATGAATTTTAATTTATTTGCTTCAATTTTGTAATTTAAAAATATAATATTTTTATTCGACAGAAACTTCAACTATTTTTAAAAGATTAAATTTACTCAAAATTTGCTCAAATCGTCGGTGCCTCGGAAAAATTTTATTTTTTACTCATTCAAACTTCCATGAACGAAATCCATTTATTTTCACACAGATAACATTATCAACAGTATTCCACATAAGTACAGCATTTTATGTTCAATTCTCTCCGCTAATTCAGTCACCATACGATTCGTTCGATAACCAAACTTCGACTTTTTTCGAAGCAAATTACCATTCCTCACTTTTCACACGTTCGAATAAAACGCGACAAGAAATTCCGACATTGCCTCGGCCATGGTGAAATTTCCATCGGTTCAAATTTATGAAGCGAGAAAATAACGATGTCGAGAACGCGATATATCGAAAATACCCTCGCGGTAAAGGGTGGATACTGCATTAACGATCACTGTCGGTGTGTGTGCGTGTGAAACTGCGGGCTATGAAATTTCGAATAACGATGCCTCTTCTTAACGAAATTTCTACCAATCACGTTAACCCTTTATTTTAGCCCGTGTTTGTTCTAATTTTTCTGCCCGAAATTTCACCTCTATCCGCGAATTTACCCCGTCGAATTTCAACCCTAATACACGCGTGGTAGCCCTGTACAGGTAACGCGTCTCGATACGTGCCTGTTGTATTTCGCGAAATATCGGAGAATAAATTTCGCGATTAATATTCGATGTTTGTTGCAGAAATGTTGCAATGCCGCCCTTTTCGCCGATGCACCCTTCGCATCGGTGTAATCGCTGGATATAAGTTTAATCGGTATATACAGTGCACACACTTAAAGACCATATTTCACTGTCACGTTCGATGTTTTAGTTTAGAGTGATTTATACCTGATACATAAATTACGACGTGTGCTCATATCGTTGAAATCGAACTTTTGAAATATGGATACATTAGAAGCAGATTGCAATCCTACGTGCTCATCCACTTTGTAACTGTTCCCAATTGTGTACGTGTTTGTCAGATACGTACGTCGTGTATTTGGAGAAGCTGCATTTGAGGGGAATAAATGTAAAAGTTTCATTAAAAGGAGATGAACGCTGAAGAAGGGAAGAATACATTTCAGAGATACGTAATAATCCCTGGCTCACAATGAACCGGGATTATATACGACATAATCATACACGTAGATAGAACTTTGTCGCCCCCCCCCCCCTTTTGCTTTCGCATAACAAATTCTGCAAAATTAAAAATCGAGTAGCTTTTAAAGTAATTTCTCCTGCACCCGAGTATTTTAATATTCTCTTGTAAATATAGATTTTAAGAAGAGAAAAGAAAACACGTTAATTTATGTACAAGGAGATGTAGAATTCCCTCGTGTCGCCCTTTGTCATTCCCATATTAAATTCTGCAAAATTAAAGTTAAAATTGAAATTGAGATATTTTTTCAAGCATTTCTTTTAGATCTAGGAATACTAATTTGACTTGGAAAAACGAAAAGGGTAGTCTGCAAGTCTTGAAACCCTATTTCTGTTAATATTTGTCAACCCTTTGCACTAGACGATTTTTTGGCTAGAGAAAAGTAGAAATTCAAGGATTCTCTACTAAAATACTGACGATACCCTTTTCAGCAGTAAATAAAGAATTGTATAATAATAGAATTGTAGAATTATTTGATTTCGATACCTCGCACACTGTGACATTACATTAAATTTGATATATTAATTAATATCGATCTTCCAAATTTTATGAAATGGTGACTGAAGGGTGGCTGCGAAGGGTTAATATCACGAGATATATCATTCGAAATCACTTGATTTCACCTTACAAAATTATTTTCTATTAGTCCAATGTCTTATATGATTACGATCATGATAATTGTCATGATTGATATATCTCTATTACATGTTATGATATGTTATTGAAATTAACATAGCTTCCAATAAGAATTTATATAAATAATATTTTTATTTCCTCTTTTTTTAATATCCATTATAATTTTTATATCTATACGTTATTAGGGCAGGTGATAGGTATAGAATAGAAAATGCGAGAAAGTACGTGGGTGTTATTCTAAAAAAAATTCGTTTGTATACGTAGGTGGATATAACGGTTCAGGTGCTGGATATTTAGAACGGGAAAAACGGGTAGCGTGATCGAAGTTTTTTCCTTTTTTCTCGTTTTTTTACCCGCTCGATCAACGTTAATGCAGAAGGCAGGTGAGAAGAAACCTTTCGATTAAATGCCATTAGGTCGATCGCTCTCTGTCGTTATCGCTAATTTCCCTTTAATCCGAGCTTTCGTGCGAGTTTGAAAATTCTCTGTGATTTTCGGTCCAATTATTTTCTAGATTTCGTGGTACCGTAACAATGAACGCGTTTCCACTAATCTGCTCCTTTTTTTTCTCTTCGTTTCACTGCAACGAATGTTTGAAATTTTGCAAATAGGCCCCGAAGCGTTATATTATTTCCTATTTATTGCATCTAAATAGAGCAATGTAGTATAACATACAAATTGCTGTATTTTTCCTTTTTTCTTTTTTTTGTTTTTGCAGAAAAAAATATTTTTCCGATATCACGTTTCTCTAGTAGCACAGTCAGCTACGGTTATAATTAAGTAAATGTTCGTTTCAGTGAATAAATATACGTGATCGCGTGCGAAAAGAGAATTCGTTGGACAAATATTTTGAAAAGAATGAAAATGGGGCTCTCTTGAACGTGTTGGTACTTAAAAAATTTCTCCTGTCGTCTCTTATAGTGTCCTTTCCATTAAACTTCGCCAAGTGCTTCGAAATGGCTTTCCATGTCAGTTTTGAAATTCTCCGAATCGCGTTTCTCTTTTTTACATCGTATTTTGCTTTCTTAAATGGATACCCTTATCATTCGTGATTGAGATTATTAAATAATACCTTTATTGCTTTTATTCATTATACCGTTGTATGTATTTGTGAAAAATATATTTCACTAATTTAAATGGTATCAAATATATGATTAATAATAAATATTATACGATACATATAATACACTGTGTATCAAAAATGTTTATATAAATATATACATATATTTATGTATAAAATGGGATATATTATACCGGATGTATATATAGGGTAAGTATAAAATTATATGTAATAGCTTTATTTGTATAAATAATTGTAGATTATTTTGAACAAGGATATTTTCAGAATATTATTAAAAATGGTTTTGATAGCTGATCTATTCAATAGGTTATAAAATTCTCTAGGTTTAATAACTAATTGAATAGATCTAGTTGTAATACTGTATAGATGGTTATATGAATTGTTGCAATTGTCAGTCAAGTTCGAATACTATCTAAGCTAACTGCTTAAGCTACTCAAGCTCGGTAATTCGACATGGACATTCTGTGTCTTACACGAATGGGAGCAAGCATAGCGAGAATCGAAGGCCAAAAGAGAGAATTTCGTCACTAGCTCCTAAAAAATATAATACCCCTGTGGACTCGTGACGAGCATTAAAAAAGAGGGAAAAAAAATAGAAAAAATGCTAGTTCCTCTGCTATAGATCAAAGCGAATTCGATGAAGCATCACGTCAAAGCTCTGCCTGAAGAAAGTGTCTGCTTCGAGTACCTTTCCACTAAATTCGACAGCACTCCGTATGAAAAGCTTAAAGAGGCTATTTTTATTGAGTACGAAATTCACAAGTCGATGACGTCGGTTCGAAGGAGACGTGAATCGATTTACAATAAAAAGAAAGTACCCGCATGTCGGTTCTATTTCAAGTGCACGCTAAATAATCATTGGAAAAATACATCCACAGTTCATCCTCTGATTTTTATTTAGCTGACGGAAAATGTTTTAATACAGGTCAGTTAGGGAGAGGAACTGCCTCTAGGTTCATAGATGTTGACCTAGGTCAGTAACGACAGACAGATACGCTTCTTTAAGAGAAAGAGAAAAATAAGAGGCATCAACGATACACCAAGTTTAATCCTGAAATCGAACAAGAAAATTTCAATTTTAAAAATGGAACGAATAATATTTTCTGTTATGAGTTTCTACTGTAATCCTTGCTTACAAGTGACTATAATAAAACAAAATACCTTCTCAAGACCAGTTATGTAACATTAGGCTTATCAACATTACGTTTGCCTAAAATTACAGAAACTCTTTACATTTAAATAAAAATGATTCTCTCGGAATATAATAAATTTTATATAAATATATAAATATAAATATATAAATTTTATATAAAATATAATTTTATTTATAAGTTGGCAGTGCATAATTACGTTGCTTTTTAACTTGCTCTTTGAAGAAAATATCTGACTTTGTTTATATTTTCAAGTATTCAAATAGGTATACAAGAAATTTTCGTAAACCTAGTGTTAAGGTCAGTAAAAACAATAATAAATGTGGTAAATTTAAAATTCGAGAAGTCAGGTAACGAAAGCAATAGCGCTGAACGCAGAATTTTTAATCGAAGGTTTGAAGAGGTGATTTTGGTTATGGTCCATCTTCTTTTTCCATTACACGTATACCCAATTAATATCGAATTAATAAAGAAAAAAATATATATAACTGACAGATACGAATTTAATAATAAAACCAGGAATTATTCCATCGCGAGTGAAACATTGGTTCTTTTTAGCAGTTCGACACTGATGGCGCCAGATGCGCGAACCTCGAGCACGTAGACCTGAACGAGAGGGATATCGAGACCATACTCCATTGGCACAACGTTTATCGTAACACTGTGGCGAACGGGGATGAGGAACGAGGAAATCCGGGCCCGCAACGCCCAGCGAAGTTCATGATGGAGTTGGTAAGATTTAGTTTAGGCTGTGTCAGGGCGTAAAACCTATGGCTGTAAAAAAAAATAGGAAAAATGGGGGAAAAAGGTTGGAACATTCGGACAACTACCGTGGACGACAGCCAGGTGTCGAACAACAGCTGTAGAGAAATTTCGAACCTTTCTCATTCGCCGGACAGCATCCTCAAACCTTTTCTCTCCAACGCCTTATTTCATAAATCCGTTAACACCTACGATCCAATCCTCGGCAGTCTATTGCAATCTGGGTTCTCACTAGCAATAATACCATCACAGATTGGGATAATTTAGAGGTTGTTGGTAGATGAATTTATTGACAGACAGAGCTATCGATGAGGGTATATAGGGTAAATGAAATTATTTTAGGTTTATGTATTGTAGTTTTGGTACTGTTCTTCATCCAGCGAGTTGTGAGTTGCTTTCATTTCGATTAGGTCTAGGAAATATTCATGGGTAACGTATATACGGGACTTTATCGCCATACAGTCTTGACATTGCCGTAGTTACGTACAATCTCAGTACCAAGTACAATGGAGCAAACATATAACAGTCTACAAAAAAAAGAAATGAAAAAGAATATAAGTAATAACAGATATAGAAATACAATTAAGTTTAAAGGGAACGTTGAAAATTTATAATAAATGGGGAATATCTTAAATTTGTAACTAACTTATAACTAGCTTATAACTTATGTTATATTATATTACTACTATTATATTATATATAAATATTTCAACTTTGGTGCGTAGCTCTTAGCTTGGTATCGTTTCCCAAAAATTGTTCTTTGGAAAACGATACCAATTACCAGGTCTCACCACGAGGAGGTGACTACGCATCGAGACCCGACATGCGCCCTAGTGGCACAGCCTGCTGGCGTTATCTGTAACAAAGATACCCTAATCTAACTTGGAGCGAAAGAAATTGAAGGGACTCTACTGACACTTTATTATATTTCGTGTCTTACAAAAGGGGTTTCGGTTCGGTATACTGAAATTTTACTGTTGCAACGCTAAGATATTTTTAAGTTCCCATAAAAACAGGGAATGAAATAACAAACACGCAAGCTAATAGAAAATCGCGACGCGCCCGAACGAGATCGCGATTATTCGAAAGACCGACTAGCCTAGGCGATGTACTCCCGTGTACAGAGATAACTTCATACCTCGGCACCCTCCCGATCGGGCCTAGCTCAATTCCAGTCACTGTCGCACTCGCCAAGACTTACACGTGGACCAAGGATAGTCCCTGAATCAATGAAACTTCTAGTGTCAACGCGAGGGCCCTGCTGGGCGGTTGCCGGCCAAGACAGACACTTCGCATCCCAGCCACACGGGGTAGAACTTAATCATCCCTGTGGTCTAACCGTAGATGGTACTAGTCCGTCAGCCAGCATGTGCCCGAGCCCCAGTCGCGTACGACTTAGGCAGCGGACCGCCC